GATTTCCACCTCAGGTTCCCCTCACTCTGAAATTCTCTATATGGGAAGGGAAGGCCGGGAATGAGGCTGTGTGGAAGGGCCTAGGCTTCTGGGAGTTATTTTGTACTCTCCACATGGCATGAAAAGGCCATGGGGCGGCTGTGGCCCCCTAGCCTTTAGATTTCCTGTTGGACGTGGAGCTGGGCGTTACCTGAGGGTGAGGCAGGTGGCAGCCAGACCATCACATTGGCCAGCCGAGTTGGGCCCAGGAAGGCCTCCTTCTTGCCTAGCTTGTAAGACGTGGGGTGACTTGTCTAGAGTGCCCACCTGACCTAGCTTACACTTCCCCTCTCCCCACAAAATACAGTCTGAAGACCACCTGGCAGCACGCACCGTCAGCACCCCGGGCCTTGTGACTGGGATTCTGAACAGTTCATCTTGGGGGTGGGGGCCCTGTGGTGAACACATGGTCTGCACCACAGGCTTGCAGAGCCAAGGTCACAGGGGTGTCTGGCAGGGAGTAGAGCTGGGCCCATTCACAAGTTGGTTAAACCACTGGTTCCTTCCTGTGCTCTGGCCAGCCCAAGGAAGTTTAGGGTGGGGAGGATGTCAGGGCCTCCCTTTTATACTAGCTCCTTCCACCAGTGTCTCCAGCCCCTGAATGCTCCAGAGAGTGGTAGAACTCCCTCCATTAAAATAAACACCTACCATGCCACCAGCCTCCTGGTCCCTAACCACCTCCCCCCACCAAGCCTCATTTCAGAGATGAAGATGCCAAGGCTCTGAGATGTTCAATGGTTTTTCCAAGGCTGAGAAGTGATGGAGCCTGATGGGAGTGGTTCGCTTCTGAGTATGAAGCTTTCCTTTCTTCTGGCAGGACTTTAATCCCCTCCTCCCTTTTTGGCCGATGGATCAGTCCTAATGGACAGGGCTTGAGAGCAGTAGACTGGAAGTCAAGAGTCTTAGCCATGGAGTCTGGTTTTGTGGGAAAGTTCCATCCTTTCTCTGGGCTTTGGTTTTCCTTCCCTATGGAAGATTAGGAGGTTGGGTCAGACCACCTCCGCCCTTAGCTCTCTAGTCTTCCTACGCCTCCCTCAGTCTGGCCTCTCTCCCTCTTGTTTCCCTTGGTTGATGTTGTCGAAGAAGTTAACAAGATTTCTAGAAGGGTCAATCAGAGATCTTGGGTTTTCTTACTTCCATCTTCTACTTACAAGTCCTATCCCACTGTCCCTTCTACTTCTATGGGCTTAAGTATGATATTGCCATGCTGCTAATCTGCCTCTTGCCGGGAGGGCTTATAAAAGTTCTACATCCTTCTAACTTTTTATTTCTGGGGTTTTCAAGCCCCTTTCTCTGTTTGAACCTGATGTATGACCTCATTTCCTTGTTAGAACAGAATTGTTTGCCTGCGGGATATTTATCCTATTTCCTTTCCGGGAAAGAGTTTGGCGCGGTGGGTTTGACTCTGGGCTCCACCTCTCGCAAGCTGATACCAAAGGGTCCATCCATGTTTCTGTCACCAGGGTCTGGTCAGTGGGCAGCCAGGCTCTGTTCCACAGTGTTTGCAAATGCAAGGTGTCACCGTGGCCCCTGGGGCAGCGTGGGACAAGCAACATCAGCCACACCTGGTTCTTTGGAACCAGCCCAGCCCTATTGACTGTTCCAAGGTGAGCAGCTCTCATTTCTAAGTCCCCCCCCCCCCCCCCCCCCGCCTCCAGGGTGCTGCTAAGGAGTGCTAGGCCCCTATGAGCCATCTCATAGCCCACATAACTATGTGTGCCCTCCATAGAGACCAAAATAGTCCATCTCAAGTAATTCTGTGGAAGGGGACATGCAAGTGAGTTAAAGACAGTCCTGAGGAATCAGTTTCTCCTTGTACTTCAAGAAAAGGGTTTGGCTAAAAGACGACTCGATCTTCACTATGGGGGAACACTTCATATCTCGGTTTGCAACATCTGCTTGCAGGATTAAGGTGACCTCACTATTTTCTCCGTGAACAATGGGTGAATGTTTGTCTTACCATTGTGTGTGACCCTCTCTGCTGAATTTCCCAAACAGAGGAAACCAAAACTGCCAGGCCCCCCCTTATCCCCCCAAACGGCACCAGAGCATCAGCAAAAGACTGATAAGGTTTCAGGTTCCACCTCTCTGGGCACCCTGCCTTTTACAGGAAATGTCCTAAAATGTTAACAGGTTTTCTCTGGGTTGCCAAGAGTTTCTATTGCTAGCTTTTCTACAAATGGTGTGTTTTGTTTTCTTCATCAAAAAAAAAGTTTTAAAAAAGAAACAGTCACGCTCCGCAGCAAACTCTAGATACACACACCCATTCTGTAATCCTGTGTGAGTTAAATCAAATATAGAATTTTTTTTTTAAGACAAGTGAATTTGAAGTAAATATAGGTGAGCATTTCTATGACCTTGGGGTGGGGAAGAACTTTTAAAAATCTTTTTTATAGGGGCACCTGGATTTATCATTCAGAGAGTGATAAAGAATAAACTATAGAGAGTGTTTGACTTTGGCTCAGGTCATGATCTCACGGTTAATGAGTTCAAGCCCTGCATTCGGTTCTGTGCTAACAGCTCAGAGCCTGGAGCCTGCTTCAGATTCTGTGTCTCCCTCTCTCTCTGCCCCTCCCCTACTCACGCTGTCTCTCTCTCAAAAATAAATAAACGTTAAAAAAAATTGTTTAAATCTTTTTTATAATTATTAAAGACATACAAATAATAAAAGTGCATGTTCACACTTTTTTCTTTTTTTTTTTTTTAAAGGAATTGAAGTTGAATAGAATGTTATATACAAGGAAGAAATGTCTCTTTCATACTCCAATCCCAACCTCACTCCCCAGACAGAACCCAGGTTGATTGGTAATCTTTTAAAATAATTTTTGTGTGTTTTTTTTTAAATGTTTATTTATTTATTTTGAGAGAGAGAGAGCATGAGTACAAGCTGGGGAGGGGCAGAGAGAGAGGGAGAGAGAGAGAATCCCAAGCAGGCTCCATACTGTCAGTACGCAGACACTGTACGCAGTACGCAGACAAGCCCTTGTGGGGCTTGAACTCACAAACCGTGAAATCATGACCTGAACTGAAGTTGGACACTTAACCAACTGAACCACCCAGGCACTCCGCAAATCATATTTTAGATGTGTGCACACACTTTCATATATAGAGTGTGTTTATGCTGACCTTTTATTAGACAATGAGATTATTGTATTGTGACTGATCTGCTTCTTTTAGCATTTAGTAATATGCCTTGGAGATCTTTCC